AAAAGGATCACTGAAAGAGTTTAGGGAGAAAGATCATAAGTACGATTCAGTCAAGACGTGTGATACAAGAATATGCATGACATAACGTTATTTTGTTAGCCATTGAGAGTAAATCATGAATTCGTAAGACTGAGCATACTATGAGATATGAGTGCTTATATGAATAGGTTCATATCATAAGGCTAACATCCGTAACTTTATGGATTTAGATTGAGATCAATGAGCTAAGTCTTTGCCCCTCATCTTGGGAATTGAGCATAGATGTGAATCTATTTAAAGTGTATGAGCATAGTTCATAGACACAATTTTGATATTAGAAACATCAACAAGATGTTGTAATGAATGAACTTTGAGGAATACACTAGAGTATGTATGGATTGATATATCTCTAAAACTCTTTATGAACACATCGCTATCTAATTCTTTACACTTGACTTGGTTTCTCATTTTATCATCTCCCCCTTAGGTCTAAAGCTAATACTTTAAAGCTATGGATTTATTCCATCATCTCTAAACTAGTCTATATTTGCTTTACTTACTCAGAAAATGCTAATCTCATGGCTACTGAACTCTCCATGCGCATGCACTAAGATTCCTTCTAAGTCTTCTTCCTCAGATACTTCTCGTAACTTCTTCTGACTTCTATAAAAGGCTTTCTATAATTGTTACCCGCATTGACTTATAAAGCCGCTTAATCTAATTCTTAAGGGAAAAATATTAATGCTTACATCAGCCTATTCCATATTGACAACTCAAATATACTATCTAGGCACATATAGAAAGTCATAAACTTAAAGAAAAATATCCATATAAAATTGAGTTACTACAATAATGCCATTAAAAAAATTTACTCTAAATTAAAATGTTATAAAATATTTATATTTAGATAATAATTATATAATATTATATTATACAACACTAGAAAACTCAAAAGTTGTAGTAAATACTATTCATACAACTAATAAATCAGTGAATAGTAAGAGACTATATACATTTAATTGTATGTCATTAGTATATGAATAACTTGGATGTTTAAGTTTCTCCTTATAGTTCATGAAACATGTATTTTGAATTACATAGACTTAATAATGTGTATTTATTATTTCTTGAACTTTGTATCATTTCTTTAGTACTTAACTATATTTATTTAGTGTCAATTTTGAATTGCTTCATCTTCCGATCTTTATTAAAATATTAACTTTTGAAATGTCAATGTACATGTAATCAATCAAGGATTTATTTTCCTAATTAAATAGACCCAACCTTTTCATCATTTTCTCCATACACGAAGAGTTTAGAAGTTGTAATCATGATTTAGCCTAATTGAGCTTTTAATGATTTAGTAGTGAACCAACATGGGGATGTAATCCTGATTGCCTAATATATGCTTCTTCTTGAAAATGTTTGGTATATATGTATTTGGTATATGAAATGAAGATTTTGGTTATTTTCTTGTTGCATCTTTTAACCAAATTAAAATTACATACTTTTGAATAAACCTAAAGTTAATGTATCACATTCTAAAGATAATGAAGTTACTGGACAAGTATACAAGGGAATATCATGGTTGCCTTGAATGTGGTACATCATTATTTATATACTAGATAATGAAAGGCCCGATACAGGTCCAATATTACAATTTTATATATGTTTATAATAGACATTTGATTAGTTTTTTGGAAAGAAAAATTATTATGATATTTTTAAATAAACATGATAGGAAATTATAATAAAACGTAATAGGTGTTTAACAAATAAAAGTAATGACCTACTTGATGAAAATTAGAGCGAATCATCTCATTCTTTACAAAGTGATAAAATGATGAAAAAAATTATGACTGTGTGTCTTGTCTTAATATTTATTAAAATTAGGAGAACAATTTAGTATAGTAAAGAAATAATTTTTTTAGAGTAATTAATATATATTATGAATAAATGTTTTACCTCAAATAAATGATAATTTAAAAATATTAACAAAAGTTGATATAATATATACGACAATAATTTAGCATGAGATAGTTAATATAATAATTTATGTAACTTGCTTAAAATGATTTTAACTAATGATAAACTAATAGTAATAAATAAATAAACAAATATATGTTTTTCAATAAATTATATTATGGCATATATGTTACGTAAAGTTTTTGGATTATACATAAAGAGAGAAATCAAGTAAATTAGATACTTCAAAAATTATCTTTACAATCCAAAAAAAAAAAGCAACACCATGAAATTGAAAAGTCTGAAGAGAACCAAAGGAAAGGACATAACATGCTCCGAAATTATTGAAAATTTTGTTCTTGAAGAACTTGCTCAAAGGTTGCATTCCTTTTGGATTAGGCATTTTGAGAAACACAATTATGATTGATATTGAATTTAACATGTTAACTACTCATTAGGATGTTTGAAAAGTGTGGAACAGTTGAATTTTGTTGAAAATTGGCTATATATATGAACAAATCCCAGAAGTGATGTCAACTAAGAAATATTGAATTTTACTTTTGTCTTATAATTATTTTACAAAAGTAGGGTCATTATATAGAGAAATGATACAAAATGAAGTTCTTAATGTTGAAAAAAAAATTGCTTTATTGGTCTTCCTAATAAGAGATCTATGCCAGAGTGTATAATATTTAGGACACAAATTAGAAATAAACGGCAAGAAATTTATGTATAAGACATGATAGGGAGAGAATTGAGGAGTGAATGAAATGAAGAATGAGTTAATGTCTATTTACTTGTATCATAGACTTAGTTCTAGAAAAATCTTATAATTTATAGTTTCTAGAAAAGTCATGTAACTTGTGGAGGAAATTTACCCACTTGATAAAAATATTTTAACAAGTTTTAAAATATAATTATAAAGCTTTAAAATGAAATATATATGAAATGACCATATTATCTTTGATTGTCCTCAACTTCACATTCTATATAATAGAAAAATACCAAGTTTTGATCCGACAACTTCAAATTTAAATCAAACTTACATCAGTTCACATATTTAGATTAATATGTTTGAAATCAAGTAAAAGTACAAACTTGATTATATATTTTAATGAAGAACTACTCTTTTATAATCTAGTAAACATTTATAGTCTACTTAAACATTTATAGTCTACTTTTAAATGCAAATATACCATCCTATTCATTTTATTGTAAAGTTACTTTTTAACATCTTTTAAAATATTGAAATTAATTTTATTAATTCTTTAATTCCAATTAATACATATTATTAATTTTATCACACTTCTTTCTTTTCAGGTATATTAATTAGAGAGTAATGAATTTTTACGTTAAATTAGATATTTTTAGTAAGCATAATGAATATAAAAAATATTAGGAATTAATTAAAGTAATAGTAAAATAGAGTAATGAATAGATATCACAATAACTCATAAAAGAAAAGAAAGTGAACTGATAACAAAATGAGTTAATAGTACTAATAATAACTAAAGATGTTTCTAGAACTATTTAGTTTTCTTGTTTTTATTCTTGGTAGATTTTTGTTAGCATGAAATTACATTTTTACCCTTGATAATCATTCACTTCATATACAGAAAGATGTTTCTAGAATTATTTGTTTTTGTTGCTATCTTTGTTAATAGATTTTTGTTAGAATAAAATTACATTTTTACCGTTGGTCGTCCTACCACTTCACTCTTCTATATAATAGAAACTTGTGCCTTTTTTTTGTTGGTAAAAAGCAAGTTAGTCCTATTTAGGTGTTCTAATAATTTTTTTTAATATTATAAGTATCAACGCTAATTCTATGTCAGCAACTCCCATAATGTTAGATGTTATATTATCTTAATTAGTTTTACATAGTTCAACATTTTCTATTTCGTGAACTACTCCCTCCGTTCTTCTGAAGTTGCTACTATTTTCTTTTTAATAGTCAAACAATATAAACTTTAACTAACATTTTCAATTGTATTTTTCCATCATATTGATATGAAAAAAGTTGCAATTTATAGTAATTTTCGTATAATTTTTGAATATCTAAATTCTTATTTCAAAATATCAAATTAGTGTAATCTAAATTAACTTTAAAAATTTAGTCAATTGACTCTCAAAAAGCATAATATAACAACTAAAAAGGAATAGTGGGAGTAATAACTAAAATTGTGTTAAAATTAGATGATATTGTTGTGTTTTGACTAAACACATACTAAGTAGAATAATACATAGAATTAGGTATGTACAAATTTTATAAAAATAACAGTCTTTGGAAATGTGGGTTTGAAGATACAAAATTAGGCATGTACAAATTTTATGAAAATAATAGGGAATAAGCGTGCGACGCACGTTTCCAAAGACTAGTGAAAGAAAAAAACATAAGAAACTCAAATAATGATGATCAAAGAAGTCAAAAAATAATTTTTGTATGAAAAAAGATTAAAATATAACTTGAACTTTGCTAGAAGGATCATATATATACCCCTACATGATTTTTTTTTAAAAAAATTAAAGTCAAAAAAATAAACTTGAAACTATTTTTTTCACTTCCGTTAGATGAAGGGTATATGTGAACTCCTTTTGTAACGGTAAGGGTATATATGAGACATTTGTATAACGGTAAGGGTATATATTTGCCACTTTCATAACGAGGCATATATCAGCTCAAAATGACAAAGTTAAGAGGTATATTAAACCCTTTTCCCTTATATTAAAGCAACACAATACTATTTCGGTATCATTATATTAACTTATCAAAAAATTTGAACCACAGTTTTATTCCTCTTAACTTTATATCATATATTTTAATTTGAAACTTACATTGTTGATATTCTTACTTCATAAGCTATAAATATAATTTTGTTTCTTGAAAATTTTGATATCCTCCCTTTTTCCCAATGGTTGTTCCTTTCCTTTTAGAAGTATTAGATAAGTAGAACAAGTGCAGCGTCAAGTACAAGTACATATAAGATGGAATAAAAACTTGTCAACTACTACATGATACAACCTAAAATGAAATAACAAATAGATTTTTGCAACGACTAGAAACCATCAAACTTGCTATATTGCTACTTAAATCCACATATCCATCAATTTACAACAGAAAAATAACAGTAAACAAATTCACTAAGTAACTTCAAAATGGTCAGACTAGTTATACTTTCCCTTTTTTTGCATACATATAAAAGAAAATGTGTAGCAGCAGTGAGGCCCCAATGAATAATTCATTGACAAGGGACTCACTCCCGTGTTATCGTGTATGAACCCATTTGTTTTGTTCCTCAATATGATCTCATACTGACGGGAAATACTTGTTGAGATTGAACGGAAGAGAGTAGAATTCCTCACTTCTTGTGTCACTCTTGAAGGACCGGAACTTGTTCCACCACGGCTTGCCTCTGTCTTTCTTTGTCGAACTCTCCTTTTTATGCATTGTGTTGTCCAGGAAATAAGCCAAGATGCCAGCAACAAAAGCTTCTGATGAGAAGGGAACGTTCACCATGTCGTTGAACTGAAGAATAACAAAGCACAAGAACTCTTTTCAGCCACCTCTCAATAATTGAATGAAATCAAAATGTTAAAATGGACTGAGTTAGTGCTAATTGCTATACCCATCGTCCATGTGTGTGAACAGGTCCGTAACCAGCAATCACAGTGTATTCATTGAAGTACTGTGGTACTGATAAACCCAAAAAGATAGAAAAACCTAATATAAACTTGTTACGGAAACTATTAAGATTGCAGAACTGAAGAAAGCTTAAGCCTCCAACCCCTACAAAGAAAGAGAACAAGGAAATCACTAACTCGTCATAACGTGAACCACATATTGGTAGTGATCATGACACAGGGCTTCCCTTGTATATTTACGTACCTACATAAGCAAAGAATAGGCAATACAGAGCGCCTACAATGGGTGCTGGAATTGAAGCAAAGACGGCACCAAATTTTCCTGAAAAGAAACAAAGTGCATTTAGATAAAATAACATGCAAAAGAGGAGCAGGGGGGGGGGGGGGGGAGGGATAAAATATCAGCGAAAATCAAGAAAATTTATTCAACAAAATACTTGGACAGGACATTTACCAAGGATTGAAAAGAAAATCATAAACCCTGCTGATATCTGAACAACTCTTCGGCTGCCAACACGTGTTAGTGCTAAAAGACCAGCATTTTCACTGCATGTGTATGAAGACAAAGTTAATTCGTCTTAGATGACTAAATTCTTCCATCTTATTGTGCTGAAGAAGATTTTGCCTGTAACTTACACAGATACAGAAGATCCATTCCCGGTGCCGAACAAACCCGATAGTAAAATGCCAATTCCCTGACATAACACAGATATGGAAAGTAAATACAGCAAAAAGGTTCGTCATATGATGATAATTAAGGAGCACGTTGGCAAGAGATTGGAGTGAGGAAGTGCATAAACAATCATCCTTCTCGTGAATGAGTTCCAAATTAATTGTCTTTCCATATATGCCCTTATACACCCCACCCCTCACCCACCTCCCCTAAATAAATAAAAACAGTTAAGAGAATCTAAAAGGTACTTTCTCTTTCCATGATCCAGAAACTTTCTCATTCATTCCCCCACCCCCAACTCAAAAAATAAAATAAAGGAAAATATAAAAGGTCCTTTTACATGATCCAGAAACTTTTTTCAGTGATCCATATCTAGTTGATCCCCACTCCTCCATCCCTCTACCACCTTCATTTTTTCCAATACAGTAATTCTGAACCAGACTGAAACAGCTCCGGCTTCAATTGAGTGGACACATTTACTCGCGCAATGCATGGAGAGAGTCATGTGACAGGCAGGTATTTAGCTGAAGAGTTATGTGACAGACTTGGGGTACTAGCTGAAGAAATTTTGGGGTATGAGCTGAAGAAATTTGTAATACCAAAGGTGAAATCTTCTGGTGGAAAAGGCTAATCTGGAAAGACTGAAACAATGTCATGACTCTCCACATAAACCTTTCAAACCACCCTATGCATTTGATTCTGCGTTCAAATTCAACAAAATAACAAAATTGTTTGCGTTTTCCCTTTTTAGTCATTGTATCAGAAAATGTTGGGACTAGGGAGGGGAGTTTACAGGGGGCAGCATCTGTTTACCTGCCAACCTACGCCCCGGCTGAGTATGGATGGTGGCATGGGAGTGGCACTTGCATATCTTGCAACTGCAATAAAAGCACCAGTAGACTGAAAATACCAGAGAGCACAAGCAAGAAAGAGATTAGCTTTAGCCCAACATATTGACAAACATAAAAGTAGCCATACTCACTAACAAGGGAAATTGTTGATGAAATTAAAGAAACAATGAAGAAGTTAAAGAAGGGAAGAACAGAGCAGGGGATAATAAGAAAGAGAGAGAGAGAGTTGCAGGTTAACAAGTAACATATGTAAGCTGAACCAACAACCTGAGGAGTCATTATATTCATTGCACCTTAATGCAAGCAGAAGTACTACGTAACAAAGCAAAAGAAATATCAAAATAGAACGCACACCTAAAGTATTTGTAAGCATGCCAGACTATATAGACAAGAGGTAAGCTCGAGCAGAAAGCACCCTTCTCATCCACCCTTGAGTTTGGGGGATTTGAGTCAACAAGGGAGCGAAGTGGAAAAGTACCAGTATTGACAATTGAGGAGAGGGAGGGTGGGAAAGAAAAATAGGTTACAGCACCACAAAAATGCTAGTATCAGATAGCAATTCACAATATTCACTATGTATCAAAGTTCTGATGGGTGACAAACCTCTACGAGAGCAACAAATGTAGCCATCATCATAGCAAATGCTTCACCAGCATCAAATGAAGGTGCTCCCCATTGAAAAGGATATGGAACTCTAATCCTGCAGATAATCCGGTAAATTATGAAAATATTACAACAACTCAATAAAGTATCATGTATTAGATCAATGAGTTAGTACATAGAAACATAAAAAGAAACAAAGAGACAAAAAAAGAAAAAACAATTAAAAAATGAAATAGAAAAAGATGATTGGAATTAGTTAAAAAATAAACATGAGAAAAAGGGAAGCGGAGAATATAATAGTACTTCTGTCCCAATCCCAAACTATTTGATACAAGTCCATCTCGATACAAGTTTCATAACTTTCAAGACACCACATTCATTATGAACTTTGAAAGTATGTTCTGGAATTTTCTCTAATAAACTACCTTTTCAACCATTACTTTAATATTTTCTTCCACTATGTATTACTAATAAAATATATAAGTCAAATTAACATCCACAACTTCTTGCTGATCAAATATTGTTATATAAAATGTAATGGGGCAGTATACCTTGTTTAGATAACACCATGAAGAAAGTAAGTCCAAAGTGAAAGGATTTTTTCTAAAAAAAGGAGGGTTTCAGCAGGAAGAACAAGCTAATCTTCTTTTCCTTCTTGGGTTTTCTGTTAAACTGAAAACAAAATCATTTTGTTCAGTTTTTGTCAGTTACGACTTTGGTTTTCGCGAAACAAAAATTGTTCTCCTTTCAGAAAGAAATAACGTTGCAGTCTTAAACAAGAAAATCAGACTAATGATTTTCAGATACCTATCAGTCTATTTTATCTTGTACCTTTTTCACCACAGTATGATGTAAGTTAATTATTGTGTGCAAGAATTAACAGCAATTAATGTGCACAAGCATTCCTCCATTATGCCTAGAGGATATGAAAAAAAAGAGGCACAAGAATATCCCCTGGAAAATAATAAAAGAAGATAATTTACCAGGGAGCAGCACCAATAAGTCCAGCCCGATCAGTTCTGCAGCTTATCTGGGTCCTTTGTGGCTTCCCATTATAAGCCCCAGCCAGAGTAAGAATGTATGCATAAATCCATACGATTGCCACAGTGAAAAGAACAGCAAAGCGATCAAAGATATGCTTCCCTGGGCGTATCAGATGGGCCAAATACTGAAATAACCACCAAGTTAACTTTCTTTGTTTCATGTCTAATGATGCCTTCCAACATAAATAATTTTCAAAAGGAAATTTTTATTTCCCAAATAGCATCCCACCTGAGAAAAGATGACCAAGAGGACCAACTGCGGCAACCCAACTTCAACACATTTGGCAACCTAAACAAATAAGATTATTTTTTTCACTATAACAGCAAACTAGGGAACAAGTCCATGAACACCCAAACAGAAAACATGTAATGTACTATAGGATAGATACTTCAGAATCAGTGCAACGAGAAGTTGTATACTTACCCCAGGAAAACCAAACTCATAAAGCCCAAAGCCGACAAGAGACACCAACGGAACAGCTGAAAGTGGGGTCAGAAACCTATGAATCCACAGAACATAAAATGTTAACAAGATCTAGTTTCCACATGAACATGCAGAACAATAAACCACAAGAACAATCTTTTGAAGTTTTGCTTGATACACTAGTATAGAGGAACACTATGCAATGTGCAGAAATTATATCACTTCACCAAAATGATGGATGAAGGAGAAGGTACTACATGAGAATTATGAACAAGGTGTGCATAGAGAAGCACAACTTGAAGCATGAATTATGCTATAGGTAATGAATAGTTCACGGCATGCATAAGCATTGTGACATTGACAAACCTTACAACGTTGCGCCAGAGACCACTGAAACCCAGGACAATCTGAAGTGTTGAAGCAACAATAAGTGCACCTTGGGTGGCTCGCATTATCTTCTTGAATCTCTGATGATCATAGGAGATGTTTACAATCAATAAGGACTAAATATCTCTAAGATGCAAAAGATGAGTCTCATAATGTCTTACACTGTGTCTCCACATATTTTCCCTTCCATTAGAGAATAAAAAGAATATACACCAATACGAATCATAAAAAGAAAAAAATAAGCAGCTAGTTTAAAATTGCTATAAGCAACATAATAATTAAAATTTTAGTTGTTGTTTCTTTTTTGACGTTTAAATGCTGAGATTCATTGCATATTCACACAGAAGACGAAATACAATGTCTGAAGAGACCAACCGAGACAGGGTCTGGGTCTTCCCATCGACCAGAAAGGATTATTGAAATTGTAGGTGCAACAAAGGTATAGGACCCGCCAATCACAGCGGGCAGCCTAGTCCCAAAGGAAGTCTGCAACAAGGTGTTCAAACCAGAAACAAATAGCACTGTCTGAATAACTTTTGCTTTTTCCTCCTGCAAAAAGTCGCGTAATATTCCATTAAAGAAGGATAACACTATTCGAGGTCAAAAATCAATCATGGGTTATGTAGTTAAACAGCTTAATAGTGTTAAAAGGCCTCACATTTCCACCTCCCATTTGGGGAACCAACGCGGTAGGAATGATAACTGTTGTACCAAGCATAACAAGATAATGTTGAAATCCAAGAAGGATAGCCTCAGCTGCATTCCAACAATTAAAACAAAATCAACATGATACAGCATCCAGATTATGGTGAAATTGGTAAAAACACATTTAAAGAAGTTAGTACAGAGAAGTGTCCGGTTATGTCTTTGACTCTTTGTTCAAGAGCAATAGGAGGAAGCATAGTAATCACTTTATGTCAAACACCAATATAATAGTTTCACAAAATGAGCCTACTGGCCATGAAACTCTCACAAGTTGTGTGAACTTTCTGTTAGGACCGAAACAATTAGGTGTAATGCGGAAGCTAACAAAACAAACCTCAAAAGACCAAACGAGAAATATACCAAACGACACAAAGATTTAATGTGGTTCGATCAATCAACCTACATCCACAAAGGAGATGAACAATTCACTATATAAACATGAGAGTACAAAATATAGAGAGAAATAACCTCAACCAATTTACTCGAAATACATGGTAGGTTCACACAAGTGATAACGTATCAAACTTGTGTCCCACAAATTCTCCCCCTAACCAAAACTCTCAAAGTCGTTAAAGACTACATTGTGAATGCAGATTAAGTTAGAAGGAACAAGTTTCTATTTATAGAGAGTTCTAAACAATTTACTACCAGAAAATGACTAGCCAATTTTAAACCTTTTCCTACAAGAAAAAAGCTAGTCAATGTTAAACCTTTTCTTATGAGAAAAACCTATTTATGTTAAGAAACTAAGGGCAAATAATAGCCAACAAATCTCCCTCTTGGCCTGAAATTCTGACAAAATTAATTTGTAACATAATCTTCAACAGTTTGCTTCTCCTTTCTATAATCTCCTCCATCAAATTTATATCTCAACACAGAAAACCTTGCTAAAACAATTTCTCCAACAAAAATCTTCATTACTGTCAAAAAAGATGCGGCTAGAAGAAGGGAGACCACATAATTGTTCAAAAAATTGAACATGTCAATTTGGCAACAAAAACATAATTAGTTGTGACTTTAGTAGTGAATAAATCAAGTGGTCAAACAGAAGTTAGTTAGGTGAAACAAATTCTGTATATGAGTTAGGCAGAGAAAGTTAAGGAAAAGGAAAAGATGTAAAAGAAAGTTTCGCACGCCATGGGGGAGGACTAGTAATACAATAGGAAACATTAGGAAGCTGATCTTTTGTTGGATGTGGCGCTGGGTCATCCGATTTTGCTGCTGGAGCTGCTCCTCCACCTGCCATTTTTTCCTCACTACAACTCAAGAGATACTCAACTGTTTAACAGTAAACACAAAATTTACCCAACTTTCCACTTTCCAGTTTCTAGAGGAAACAAAACTCTTTTGTCTATTTGGAAACCAGAGATTCGAACAACAAACCACATGACACTACTACACCATATGCTACCTATTCACTTTATACCAACTGTAAAAAAAATAAAGAAAATTAAACTGTAACAACTAGTGCTTGCCAGTCTAAACTTTATACTCCAAACTAAAATATCCTTTTATCTTACTCCTATATATTTTGATTTTTGACTATAAAAAAATTGTCCTTTTCTAGTAAAATATTTTTTAATAATAAAAATATATTAATGTATTTTTAAATTTTTCTCGGAGAAAGTAATATAACCACTTTTCATTTTAAATAATGACAGTTTTTTCTCTTCATACTTTTTATATTAGGTATGAATTTTTTTTAAAAAAAACATTATATGACATACTTTTATTGCATAACTATTTAAATTTATTTTCTACATCAGTAATAATGGATTTATTTATTAAAAAATATATGATAAACGAAATTAAATCCAATTATATTTTGATATGTTAAATTACTTATTGTAACTTTTAGTCGGGACTGGTATAAATTTTTGAAAGGAAACAAAAGAATAAGGGGTCGTTTTGTTTGAATTCAAGTTATGATGGGATTAATTATGATGGGATGAATTATGATGAGATTAGTTATGATGTGATAAGTTATGATGAAATTATTTTTTATTGAGTGTTTAGTTTGTTGTATTCATAATAATAAATTTTAAGAACAATTTATTTGTTTACAAAAATGCCCTTCATGAATGTAAAAAGTGATGTAACAAAAGGGTTGAAAGAGATATTTTTGTCATTTACTTATTTTATCCCGGAATTACTATACCACTCAAGAGGAGGGATAACTTATCCCGATACTAATTATTAATCCCGGAATAAGTTATCCCAGACTTGCCAACCAAACAACAAATTAAGTGGTACTATAATTTAATCACAGGACTATTTGGTATAATCCTTCACACCAAACGACCCCTAAATATTTAGTTTAAAATAAAAATGTTTTTTCAAATTTTTGATAACTTTTATATGATACTTTTAAAATTATAAGATCAAAAAATATTTTTAATTTATTCTATATATTTTTAAATTATAATCACAAGATTTTAAAAAAAAAAAAAAAAAACTATACGCCGATAATGTAGTAAAGCTTTTCCAGAATCTCAAGTGGGTATGTGCCGATAAATTGAAGAAAATGTTTTAATAAAGAGAAAAGAAAAGGTTACTTTATATGATGGTACTATGCTGTTGCCCAATGCAAAAAGAGAAAGAAAAGAAGTGTAGAAAGAGCATATTAGAAAGTACTTTCTCTATTCGATACTCACTCCGTCCTACAATAATTGGTCACTATATTATTTTAAGATATATAACAATACTTATTCACTTTATAAAATCAATGAATAATTTTATATTTAGGTTCTAATTTACTTTTGTCATTAATTATAGGTATTTCCTATTACATTTTGCAATACATTATATTTATAACATTCAAAAGGTGATATAGTAAAATCACTCTTCTGCTTATAATTTCTTAAGAAGTGTGCAGAGTCAATATTGGACAAATATTATTTGACAAAGGAAGTATTAACTTAATTGTGAGGCAATGCAGATTTATTAAGAAACAATATTTAAGGACATAATTTACATCATATTTTTCAGTATTTTCCTTTGTGAAATCATAAATGTACCTTTATAAATAGTGTAATTTGTTTCCTAAAAATTATCAAATTTTATTAAAGGATGTGATAAATATAAAATAATTTCAAACATCTATTTTAAACTTTAAATAATTTAATTATTTTAAACAATAAAAAAATTTCAAAATTGAATTAATATGAAATAAAAGGAATATTGAATAAAAATTCTGTATGAGCTGCACAATGTGAGGATAAAAAAATTGCCCCTTTTTCTCTATCTTTAAAAGAAAAAGGAAATTCGTAGAATCTTTCTTGATGGACACATCAATTAATGAACCTTCTTTTATTTAATTAATTAATTAATTATGCTCCAACATACATACCGCTCACCAGGTCTTACTTTGTCAAATAAGAAATAATTACCTAATTAATAAAATAACCTATTCTTATTTTTCTTTTTAATTAATAATTAATAAAGCTCCTTTCTATGATGGTGTCTTCACATGTATTGCCCAAATGATTGTTCTTTTGTTTATTTTTTTTAAACACACAACCGGTGATTTTGACAATTTGATTTCACAATTTGTACCTTTTATTTTAGCTTCACTGATACTCTTTCTTTCTCCATTTTTTTCAGGGAAAATTACGTGGATAAACAAATATATATTAGTTAATTAGTTAATATAGTTACAAATTGTCTTAATTATAATTCACAATATACTTTTAGTTATAATTACGCTGCTCAATTTTTTAGTTTTGTATAATTCGGGATATGTATAATATAATTTGTATAACTTCTTTAATAATGAAATTTTGTATAACATAATTTATATACCTATTTAAAGTTTAGATGTTTATGTTTGTATAGATTCGTTATTTTGAGTTTATACAAAAATAGTTGAATTATACAAATATATCTGCGAATTATACAAATGAGACAGCTTAAACTATAGCTACAACTCGTAAATGTGCAAACTATAGCTATGGAGCATAATTAATTTTATTATAGTGGCTATTTGCAAAATTTTCCAAAAAATAAATGTCTAAGGTGTTTAATTTAACATTTAAAAAAATCAGTTGTTTAATTTAAGAAATTAAAAGATTTAATTTATTATCTCATATCGATTAAATTTTTTGGATATGTGTAACGTGTTACGCGTATATATATATATATATATATATATCATAATTTATTTTTGTTATTATAGAAATTGAAGTACAAACAAAAAGTTCCATTGCATACTTTTAATATTAGCTATTTAAGTGACCAAATATGATTAAATATGCTCTCCAAAAATAAAAAATAAAAACTGAACAATCACATTAAGGCCTCATTTGTTTTCTTTAAGATTTAGAGTTCTGCATCTGAACGCACATCTGAATATTAAAATATGCATTAAGATTTAGAGGTTTGAATTTGTATACGTATATGATATATTAAGATGTTGCATTAAGATCTAAATATTAAATAGTTAAGACTGTTTGTTTTCTCAACAACTGAAATGTATAAAAATTGTCTTTATTTAAAAAATAATAAACATAAAATGCAAATAAATACTAATGTAATACACTATCCTTTTGGAATGTCTAAATTAACCCATACCTTTGTGACAAGAAAAAGAGTGTTTAATAAATTAAAAATGATGTGGTATGACTTATTTAAATTCTTCAATGATTGTATGTTAAGTTTTGAAGTCACGCAAGTTGAAAAATAAAAGGTAGCGAAAGTTATGACAAGTTCCTTTGTAAAGTTTTCTCTAAAATTTGAGTCAAATGTCTCAGATATTTTCTCCCAATCTATAAAGACTTATGGGGCCCACAACCTATCAAATTGAAGGTCTATAAGTCTAGTTTCCAACACATCAAATTGTTTTTCCACATAACTTCAGAATAAAGAGATACTCACATTTTCGCGAGATGACACAAGCATGCATGTCAAGGGGGCCATGTCGGTGAGACGTTTACATAAGGTCATCTTCTTCATTTTCTCTGGAATGAATGTTCTTAAACAAGAAACCCATTAGAGTTAGATCAAAATAGTTATTAATTTTCTTAGACTAAGTCCTTGACGAAAGTTGTTCTACACATTGAGTTTGTCATCGAGATCTAACTTCTTCCATCGATTTTGCCATGTATCTCTGTTGGGGCAAAAATAGGAATTGAGGACACTAATTGTTGAACTAAATAGGCCTTAAATGAGTGTAAATCTATCACTCATCAAGGACAAGCAAGGTAGATTTTCACTCATTTGAGGTCTTTTTAGTTCAACAATTAGTGTCATCAATGCATATTTTGATGTTTTGCAACTATGAAGACTAAAGGACAAGGCAAGGATGAATACATGAAAAAAAAGGAAAAAACATTGAAAGGAGTACAAACTCTCAACTGGTAGTCGCCTAACCAAAATGTGGATCACCCAATTGGCCTTACCTCTCCCAAGTTGACAATGTGACAATTAAAAATATTCCAGGAAGGTCGGTGGACTAAAATTTAAACAACGATGCGCCGAAGTCGAATGGGCGAATTAAAATTCCAGTGTAGAAAGTGACAAACGCTTGAGTAAAAATGAAAGTTAAATGTGCGAACTATGTGGTAATCGGCGATCTGCCAAATGTAAAAGGCTGACTCAATCGAGTTCTCCAACTGATGTTCAAACACTTGAAGCCTTAAGCAAAAAAAAAAAAGGCGATCTAAAAGGCAATCGACGATCCGCCGAATTAGAAAAGTGAGCCCGACTAATGTTGCCGAACAAGTCGAACATGGAATTGTGGGCTAATTTTGGAAAAACTATAAATGATCCAAAGGAGAGAGAAAAATGTATCAATTTTTGGTTTGAGATTTTGTATAAGATTTTAGAGAGACTTCACATCTTTAGTCTTTTTACCCTTTGAGAAATATTCTTAGTTTTGGGGTTTTTCAAACACTCTTGTAATTGACATTTGAGGGTTCAAATCAAAGTGAGTCTTGAAGATTATTGCTTAATATCAACTCTCCAATGTCTGAAAACATAATTGGTATACTTTATTTTCCTTTTATGATGCTTGACTAAAACCCTAATTCTAGGAGTGTGTTTATGGGGTTGGGTGTTGATTTAATTTAGTGAGTCTTGTGTCCTGCTCTATTTTATTACTATTTATCCATGTATTTGAGTTATTTAGCATGAATTTAATTTATGGATTACAGTTGCAAACTTAATCCTAGTCTAGATCTTCGATTGATGCTCAAAAGATATTAATTGAAGTGGGAAAATAGCTTGATGCATGCAATTTAGGTTTGATTTCTCTAGTTTTCTCGAAAGAGAAATTGTGGTTCAATTTCTAGTTGGTAAATATGCTCGAAAGATATTTTAGTAAGGTATTGGGTTGATTTGTGATTCACACAGATGAGACCGAAAGGAGATTCTACGATATGATGCTTTGAGATCGAAAGAAGATTAGTGTCATGGAAGATTACCTATCTTATTCATGTTTATTTAGCACTATTGAGCAAGAACTTTTGCCCCTATTTAACATCAATACC